TGAAACAAAAAGACAATGGGGTTTTTCCATGACTTTTTGAAGCTGCTTGATATCTATGGGCCCCAAAAAGTGAATCACAATAAAACAAGGTACAGTGTCGGGTGGTTTATCTGGGTACACCCGTTACCTCACCCAGTTTTCACAACCACCTGAGAGGTAGCCAGACCCTCTACTTTATGAGTTAGAAACGTCAGCTTGCTCTTCTAAGTCCACACATGTGTGGACAGGCATCATACCCTATGTTAGAACTCACAGGGGCACTATGAGTTGGAATTGGCTCTATGGTAGAGTTTGCTTTTTCTGGGTTTTTGGAGCCCTGGTAAGCATTGGGCTACTAACTGTAAGGTTGGTGGTTCAAATCCATCACCTGTTCTGCTGAGGCAAGACAAAGCTGTTTGCTCCCCTAAAGATTTACAACCTCAGAAATGCTCCATCTTATTGGGTTGCTATGAGTTAGAATCAAAATGATGGCCGTGGCCGTGGCTAAACCAGGGGAGGCCTTGAGTGACCCCAATGTTAACCGCTCAACTACTAGCTGAAAGGTTGATGATTCAAAAAAAAAAACCCCACTACCTTGAGATTCCTGGTGACTACCAGGAAGAAAGGCCTGGTGACCTGCTTCAGAGGTTAGTGTTTGAACTTCTGTGGAGCAGTTCTTGTGTGTAACGGGGGCACCATGAGCCGGGTTTAAGGGGCTCAACACGGCAACTGGTTGTGTTTGTTTTTGTTCTTGTGTCTGGACAGACACCTAGATGTGGCTTCTTATTCAGCAGCAGGGACTGTTTTGCAGCTAAAAAGCAGCCTTTCCTCTGAACCCAGGCTTGCCCTCCGTCCTCAGGCCCCACCCAGGAGGGCAAGGAGGAATCCAGACTCCTGGAAGCCTGTGGTGGATGTGGACATTCAGTGAGGCCAGAGGGCTTACCTGGACCATGCAGGAGATACAGATCCCTGGCCTTCTCCATGGGCTCTGTGTCACCTCCATCTCCCAGGACCAGAGAGAGCTGCAGGGAGGTCATTAAACAAGCCAGGAGCTTAAAGCATCGTCAGCTTTGCTCAGCGTGTCTCAGTCCCCGCACCTGTGCGCCCACCCCCAACCAACCCCCCAGGCCCAGTCCAGCTGCTGCTACATTTTCCCTTCTTTTGAAAAGAAAGCCATCAGATGATATAGGACGTTATTTGTTTTCATTGGCTGGTGCTTCAGGCTGGTAATTATTTGCAGCCCAAATGCTTAAAGCATGATGGCTGGGCAGAGGCGCGAGGCCCATTCCAGGCAGCATTATGGGGCCTGATGAGAGGATGCAGGTTGAGATGGCATGTGCACCTGCCACACAACTGTTCTGTCGCTGCATCTGGGAAGCTCAGCTGTTAAAAGCCATCACAAGACCCAGGAAACAGCCTTGATAGGCAACACCTCAGACACGGTTTGTGCAGCCTGCCTGTTCTGTGGCAAAGAACCTGCAAGTCCTTCTGAATCACAGAGTCCCATGTCAGCAGGGAAAGAAATAACGCATTGGAGTGTCTTTGTGCAAGTATCAGGTCGATCAAACAATTGTCCAAAGTGCGTGCCAGGAGGCACAGCGTTCAATAGAGAGTCCATAAGCCTAGAGGGCAACATTCTTGGATTGCAAAGAAAGAATATATGACCCCTGTGGGCTGTTGCGGATGGAGTATCAGTCTGTGTGTCCTATTAAATCATGTATAACGCTATTTTATGTGACCGCTGTTCCCTAGACTGGTTGAGTGAGGGGCCAGTTTGGAGGAAGAAAAGAAAATATTAATGTTAGGCAGTCTTTATGAGACTATGAATCAAATCCAAAGTTTGTGATTCGAAAGGAGCACACCACTTGTAGAATTAACTTTGGCACTTTGTGTTTGTTTCCACCTGCATGAATCATTCCATTTTTCTTTTTAAAATTTGCCAAGAATAAAGTAGACGGTCTATGCGTGTAATTTTACTTTGACTTCTACGGTGCTTCTGAATTGGGGGAAATTTTTAAGACTTAAAGATTTTTGAGTTGATTTCATTGGCAGTCTGAGGTGAGTAACACTTATCACGTACTGAGACCACGTATCGATACAATGATAAAAGAGCATCAATACCAGTTAGTGGATGGAGGGAAGCTTTCCTTGCCTGATGGTAGTTTCTGGAATGTGGCTTTAACTTTGGTTGCACGGAAAAACAATTACCGCAGATCAGTGCTCTTCAACACCATATTTAATTTCAATCAAAGGCCTTTTTTACTTAATGTCCACAATATAACAAATTTAATACTTCTGATGGAAAGAAAATCTCTCTAAGGTGTGTAGCTCCAAGTAATCGATGATGGGTCGTCGGATGCCATCATCGACTGCTTGTGGTGTGGCGGCCTTGAAGCCACCTGGTGATGACAGCTTGTGTTTCAGCTTCCTCTGATACTTACCGGTAGCCAACTGTCATTAAGGATGTCGTGTTTTGTCAATATTGAATCAAAAAACAATTAAGCACCATGAGAACATGGTTATCATAATCCATTCCACTCGACTGGGCAGGGAGGCAAAAATCACGATACCCTAGCCTGGCCCAAATAAATGTGTTGTCAGGAGAAAAAAAGATGTTGAAAATGTGTCTCTCAGCTTCCCATTGAAGCCCAACACTGCCCAGATGAGGATTGGTTTTTTCTTACATGGTCTGTGTTGTACTGTGTTTGTTTGTTATTCTGTGTTGTATTTTTGTTTCATTCCGGTGTTTGTTTGTTTGTTTGTTTTGCTGGCCTCCTATAAACTCTTTATTGTCAAGGATAATATCCTAATCTATCTTTGCGGACAGATCTTCAGTAAATTGGTATGGAATCAAGGAAGGAGCACACGAATGAACAGAAGTACTTTACATATAGGATATTTAAATACAGTGAACCCTCGTTTATCGCGGTTAATCGGTTCTAGACCCTACCGTGATAAATGAAATTCCGCGAAGTAGGGTTCCTTATTTGTAAATCAAATATTTTCATAGTTAGAGCATAGAGGACATGAAAAAACACCCGTTAGTCACCATGACACTCGTATTACCCAATTTATTAAACGAAAAAGGGAAAATACAGTAAAACATTTTGGATGTTACAATTATCATTTATTATTTATTATATTATTTATGGCATCAAGCGTGTACAGTATGAGCCAATCAGTGGCAGTAATGACAGAGCACGCGCTATTACGCAAAAACCGCGATAGAGTGAAGCCCCAGACGCCGAAGCGCGAAGTGGCGAGGGTTCACTGTACTCTGCTTTACTCCTTAACACTACCAAAGATGCTTATGCTTTATACGTTAGCTTAAAAGTGCTACCTAGCCCACCTGTTCGCCTTCATCTTATGGACAGTAGTCATGGAAACAGAACTGCAAGGTTATGGTGAAGTACTTCGTGAAGTACTTTGAAATCTTCCTATGAAAAAGGAATGGTAGTTTAAGTAGGTACAGAAATGGTAGGTCAGGAGTAGATTCCTGATCCATGTATTAGAGGAATATGTCATTGGTTTTACACGTGGCTCTCAGCTGGAATTGTGTCCTGTGCTCATTCCTAAACCAAACCCTCCAAAGGAAATGGAATTCAGAGATTGGCATATAAGTCGATCAGTATCCACCTCAAGGGCAGAGAAGGAGGCCATATCTGCCCCTGCTGGACTAAATTGCCTTTGGAGAAAAAATAAAAGCAATTAAAATCAAACTATATTCTGTCAATATATTACTAAGTACCTTATTTGGTTGCATATTGGTAGAAACACAAAATAGAACATAGAAAGATTGGTAGAAACTCAAAATAGAAAAATGGAATGATTCATGCAGGTTGAAACAAGCACAAAGTGCCAAAGTTAATTCTACAAATGGTGTTAATTCTACAAATGGTGTACACCTAAAAGTTCAGAGGTAGGCCCTGCAGTTCTGTATACCATTTTTAAGACCCAGACTTGCCCCATAATAATTATAAGGAATCCATTCTGCCAGTGCTGTGTGTTAGGCGTTCCCCATGTTAAATATAAGGAATCCTGCCAGTGCTGTGTGTTAGACATTCCTCATATTAAATATAAGGAATCCTGCCAGCACTGTGTGGTAGGTGTTGGGCTGCTAACCACAAGGTCAGTAGTTCAAACCCACCAGAGCTGCTCCGCGGGAGAAAGAGACTATCTGCACATAAAGATGTGTCACCTTCACATGGAACTTAACGGTTGTCAAGGTAACTGCTGACGCTCCCACTCTCACGTTCCGGGCCCAAACAGAAAAAATAGGAAGAAAAATAGTGACCCCTCTTCCTTAGACCAAGAAAATATGCCAGCTTATATCGTATCAGAAACGGGCCCACACCTAGTGACAAGGGACCCTGGAAGATGTGCCCACTTAGACATGTCCAGCCAAAAGTCTGAGGTGCATTTGCAAGCCAGAAGGGGAAGGATAGATGTTGCCTAAAGCAACTACCAGAGTCTGTTATGGGCACCAGCAAGGGTGGTGTAAGCAGAGACGCGGTGGATGCAAGCGAGGCCTGCCGAGAACACCGAGCTGTCGCTGTTCTCTGCTCTTCAACCCATCTCTGTTGCATGTCACTTCAGGCAGGACAACAGCACAGGAATAGGAAGGCGTGGCAAAGCATGCTGCAAATCAGCAAAGTGTTGAGACTATACGGATAATAAGGATCTTGTTTGGTACTAGATCATTTTTCAGCCTTCTTGGAATAGTTTACCTATGAAAGGCTATTCTTTTTCTTTTCCAAATATGGAAATGTGGAAGTCAAGGTATGAATGATCGTCCCAGCCTAATTGCCTTAATTAGCAGTAAGGTCACCTTTGGGCAAGAGAAATATGGCCTAGAAGGACAGGCTTGTTATGCAAAGAATCAGGTTCTCTAGAAGTAGAGGGAAGAGGAAAAAGAGGAGCTAATTAGCTACAGTATGCTGAAGGAAACTTATTGGTAAATTAGAGTCCGTGCATATAAAGCCTCATTAATATAAATAACTTTTTTTCTGTATTTTTTAAAGGTAGCCAACCAGGTTGTTCAAGCTCTGCTCACACAAAAGGTAAGTCATGTTGTGGCTTTGGTCTGTCTTTTCAAAGGGCTTATTTAAGTAGATTGGGACTCACGTGGTCAGACTAGGAAATTGTGATTGATCGGTACAATACTTTTCCATGTGTCCATTCAGGTGGAAAGCTCTGTGTGTGTCAGATGGCATGTGAAATAACATCCAGGGCCAACAGAATTGTAAACTTCAAAATCCTGATCAACGGATTAAAAAAAAGCCTGCCCAAAATGAAAGATTTCCAGAGGGATGGCAAACTTAGCATTTTTATTTAGTGGATGTAAATTGTAAAATGGTACATCCCTTTGATTCCTATAAAATTAATATCCCCTGAAAACAGCCTCTCAGAAGGGCAGGAGTCAGTAAGGGATTTCTGAGAGTAAGGAGGTTATTTGACGTCTTGGAGCCTTTGCCGCTCCTCTGTAAGCGCGGGATAACAGTTCCCATCTCCCAGGAGTGCTGTGGGGGATCCCATGGATAGAAGTTCAGTTTCTGTTGAGGCCAGCTGGTGGTAAATGTGCAGTAGATTTGGGGGATCTGGGGGTATCGCAGTACCCACAAATGTGTGTTAACTTTGCTGAGCCGTGAGCCTCCACTTAGTGCTTATCCTGTTAGTTGTAAAAACTTATTTCCATGATATTAGGGAGGCAGGATTTGGGACTGTTATATTAGGGAGGGAGGTTCTAATCTATAGGATTAGGTTATATTTAGAGGCAGTCTCTTTTGAGATCTTAAAAAGATTAAACAGAGAACAAAGATTAAACAAAGAGATCAGAGGGACCGAATACCACCAAGAAAGAACAACTGGAAGAAGGATGCAACCTTTGGACCTGGGGTCCCTGCGCTGAGAACCTCCTAGACCCAGGGGAGGGTTCATGCCTGAAACACATGGAGATCTCCATGGAATTCTGGGTCCATGGATGCTGAAAGAAGACATATATACCTACTTCAAAAAAGAATAAATGATGATCATTTTAAAAGGAAGGCAAAGACCTTCCTTCTAAAATGTGAGCCATCTGAGAATAAACCTATCCCTGGGGGTAGTGTCCCTAGTTTGAACTTACAGCCTCCTAACCCTCATTGAGGGTGTTAGCTTGGCCAGGATCTAAGAATTGATGGAATAGCCATTGAAATATTTCAACAAGATTATGAAGCGCTGGAAACGCTCACTCTTCTATGCCAAGAAACTTGGAAGACAGCTCTCAGGCCACCGGACTGGAAGAAATCCATAATTGGACTCGCTCCAAAGAAAAGTGACCCCACAGAATGTTCACATTATACAACAGTATTGATCGCATATGCAAGTAAAATTTTGCTGAAGATCATTCAACAGTGGTTGCAGCAGTGCATTGACAGAGCGGACATGGAACAAGTGATAGTGTTGCTGACATCAGATGGATCTTGACTGATAGCAGAGAATAGCAGAAGATATTTACATGTGTTTTATTGACTACACAAAGACACGTGGCTTCCAAAGCATTCCATTGTGCTCATGCAGAACTAATGTACGTAGATCAAGAGGCAGTTCAGCTAACGGAACAAGAGAATACTACAGGATCTCAAATCCAGAGAGGTATGTGGCAGGGCTGTATCTTCTCATTGAACTTAATTATTCTCGTTGCTGGCAAATAATCAGAGAACCTGTATTACTGAAAAAAGAATTTGGTCTCGGGATGGTAAGAAGGCTTATTAAATATGCACAACTTTCAATATGCAGATGACTCAAATGTACTAGCTGATAGTGAGAAGGACTTGCTGATGAAGACTGAGGATTACCGTCTTCAAGGTGAATTGCTGCTTAACGTCAAGGAAACTGGGTCAATGGGTATCATCATGATAGAGAAAAGCTCGAAGTCGCCGTAGATTTTGTCTTTCTTGTATACACACTCAATGCTCAGGGACGCAGCAGTTAGCAGATTAAAGGATACATTGCATTTGATACGCATGCTTCACAAGACTTCTTCAAAGCGGTTAAAAGCATGGGTGTGCCTTTGATGACTAAGGTGCACCTGTCCTGAGTATTCTCAATCGCCTCATGTGCATGTGATAGTTGGACAGTAGATAAAGACAGTTGGACCTTTACATAAAGAAGACCACTGAAGAACCAATGTGTTTGAGTTATGGTGCTGGTGAAGAATATTGAAGTACCAGGGACTGCCAAAAAACAAAACAAAAATATGTCTCTGAAGAAGTATGTTCCGGAATGTTCTTTAGAAGCAAGGCTGGCGAGACTGTGTCTCACGTACCTTGGACGTGTGGTCAGGTGAGACCAGTCCCTGGAAAAGGACACATCATGTGGGTCAAGTCGAGGGGGCATGAAAAGGAGGAAGACCCTTAGTGAATGGACTGACACAGTGACTGTCAGGCTGCACCCGGCCAGAACCACAGTGGCGAGGACGGCCCAGGCCTGGGCAGGGTCTATCAGATTGCCATGAATTAACATCACCTGGCCAGCACCGAACAACCAACTCTGAGAGGATAAATTTCTGTTAAGACCAATATTTCTGTTATAGCAGCATTGGATCCTTAAGACAGATAGTAACTAGAGAGTGTGACGTTCCTGGATCTGCTACTTTGGGAGCGCTCTACCCTGCCTTCAGACAACATAAAGATCACATGAGGAGGCAGAGTAGGTAAATGCAGTCACTGTTTGACTGGTTTGGTGATTTATTTTACAGAACTCTCCCCTCTCTTTCACTGATATTCTTCAGTGGGGAAATTCAACTACTTGAGATTTAGGGTTTTCTTACTTCTCTTTCTGTGAGATAGAGCCTTCCTCCCCTGAAGGAAGCCTTAGATCATTGTTTTCATTGTTGTGAATAGGAGAGAACAATATAGAAATGGCTTCACTATGTTGAAATATTATTCTCATCTATGTATGTATGCGGGGAAGTATAGGCAGGCCTGCTATGGTGGTTCTATACCATTAAGTCCACAGGTCTCTTGTTATTCCAGGAGGTATGGGGTCCATTTCCAAAGTCATGTTTTTGATGGCAAATAAGTTCTGGAATACCCATCACTGTTTTAGCCAAAGACAGAGACCAGGTTGATTCTAGAAATTCTAAGTTTATTTTTGCAAGTGCTTAACAGAAGGAAACAGTGGGATTTGCTACTGTCAAACTGCTTCAAGATTCAATGAATATCAAACAAGTTATATACCTTGAACCAAGTTCAAGGGAATGTTTTAACAGGTTTATTACCATGAACAAAGGTCTTCAAGTACAGAAACAAAGAAGGTCTGGTTCACATGGGACAGGTGGCATCTCTGGGCCTGTCATTCCTTGAGGTCAACAGGCTCCATGGATTATCTAAATGGCCTTGCTTGCCTGGAGAGCTCTGCTGAATGAGAACTTATCCTTACTGATCAAGTTCAAAAGGATGTTTTACTGCAGGGGGTGGGGCTGTTACATTTTGGGTTTTAACAAACTAAGTCTTACCAGGCAAGATCCCAAACAACGTCACGTTTCCAGTATTTGATTATCAGCGGACTAGCTCCTTTACCCACTCCCTCAACTTCTTGGTCCATGATGACAGTGTCAGCTGCAGCTATGGCTTCCACCGTCCAGCCATCAGGAAGTAGGACTGAGCAAAGGGAAGGCAGTAGAGGGCACATAGCAGCTGTCAGTGAAGAGAGCCACCCAAAGGCATTCGGCTCTCTTCTCTACTTGCATTGCCCCCCACAGAATGTGGTCACAGCACTACACGGAAGGCAGCTGGTGGGGAAGGCTTTGTGCATAGGCAGAGCCGGACTGCAGGGTTAGGGTACTGCAGAAGAAGGTGAGAAACACATCGCATCGGAAGACACCTTGTATCTATCTTCTCTTTTTCAAGGGCTTTCATTCCTGAATTGCTTGCTTTTTGTTGAGACTGTGAAAAGATCCTTGCTGTGGCTCTGTGTGACTGTGGAGAGCCTCCCATGCCTGTCTTTGTAAATGGTGCCTCTGAAGAGAGACAAGGAAGCCATTTGGTGCACTAACAAAGGGAAACAGGAGCCTTGGGGTCAGCCACAAAAAATAGCTGCACAAAGCCACCTAGTAACCAGTAAACGGATAAATACACCTCAGTACAGGTCAGCGACAAGACCCAGAAAGACATGTGTGGCTGTGAGATAGCTTGCCTTGGGGACACTGTAAGGTGGGAAGACAGGCCAAGGGCTTTCAGATCGCAAGAGAATCATGTTCTATAGAGCAGTCTCCCTCTCGGTTTTCCCAGGGGCTGTAAAATGGCTACAGGTGGATGAACATCCACTTTTAAGAACAAAATATAGGAAACAAATTTTTTTCAAATGCAGAATTGAAAACAATTACTAAAGAGGGATCTAGGTTCCACAAAGTAAAAACAGCTTTCTCGGGTGATATATCTAACACGGAAGGAAGGAAGGAAGGAAGGAAGGAAGGAAGGGAGGGAGG